CTACGTATTAAATGAGCTTGAAAAGGTAAAAAAGGAAACAACTCACAAATTTAAAAAAAAGTCCGCCTATAAAAGTCTTCTGCAATTAATGCTACTCACATAAAAATGTTCACGGAATTCAGCATAATATTACATCATGCGTTAATTACATTTGCAATTGCATTGACAGTTGTTTTGCAAGTATTAATATTTATATGCTTACGATGTCTTGTGATAATGGTGATACTGTCATTTGTAGCAGATACCAAAAATGATGTGAGATGCGTTGTTGTTTTTCTAATCACAAGTGTCGCTTTTTATCGTTTTGGGTACTCAACCATTGCAAGTGTAGATTACCAAGAAAAATAATTTCATTGTTGCAGCAAAATTATCATTGCTAATTATTGCATATTCGTACTACCAGCGACCAAATTTAGTTGATAGAACTATAATTTTGTAAATCATTTGTTATTAAAGAATTTCTTTTGTTAAAAAATTATTTACTAAAAATATTTATTTTTATAAAAAATTACGTTAACTTATTAAAGCAAAATATATTTATCTTTAGCTAATATTTTTACTATTGAAGCAAAACCATGTTCGCACAAATCCATCATGATGATAAAAAAAATTTCTTATTGTAATCAATTTGTGTTTTTACAGGAAAACTTGATTTATTATTAACAACATAGAGTCCTTAGAATTGAACTTAGACGTCTAATTAAAACGTTACTGTTACACGAAAATTTATGTATGCATGAGATATTGATATGATACATACTATTCTGTGGATACAATCGACGCAATGTTACAAACTCTTTAAAGTGTTTTTTAATATTGATCAATTTGTTCTTCTGAATTGATCCATTAAACGCTTCAAAGCATTTGTAGCGAGACTTTGACTACAGCCTATTGTAATGATGTATCAGTGACACAAAAATCGTCTGTGTGCAAATCCTACTTGAGCTTAAGACACAGTGCGAAGAAATAGCGAAGATGATAGAAATAACACAGTTTCAATCTATCAAAAACTGGGTATTCCGGTGTATCCAATTTCTGATAAGTTGAAACTGTGTTATTCTTATCACTATCGCTGTTCCCTCGCATTGTGTCTTGGACTTTACACTACGACTAAAATCTCTCGTCTTTAAGATCTCCACCTTAACAAATAACATGTTTTCTCATAAGAAAGATTCGACGCTCATTTGTATAAATCAGGAAAAATTAGATCCACTTCATACAGGCTAACGATAGTGTGTGTTGGATAAAATTATTTATTTTCTTAATATTTTTTATGTTATTTATTTTTTTATTGAATTATAACTTCCTTTATATTTTTATTACCTTCACTGACTGAGCTTTTCTCTGTATCATAACGTGTTGTTATTAATGTTATCATACTCATTTTCTAATTTATTTATTTACTTTTTGTGCTTATATCTATTTATAAATATTATATTTGCTATTATTTGCACTTTATTTCCGGCTCTTAGGTTGTACATTTTATGGAGCTTTTACTTCTCACGAATTTTTTTTTTAATTTCTTCATTTCTCATTTATTCTGGATACAAAAGTTATCCTAATAATTTTTGTTTGTCTCATCATATAGTTTATTAATTTAATGTGTTATATTGATAATAGGCGAGTCCTTGGACACTGCAAATGAACTACATCGGATTGCTAAAAAAAATTGTTTCATAAACTTTTCGCTACATTATGTATGGTAAGAGCCATTCTTGTTGGGCGATCAAATATCAGTCGGTCTATATCTCTTGTCAAGCCAAGAGAATGACAGTTTATTATTAGATATTTAAAGACTACACATTATATTGATGTGAATCAGATACGGATTGCGTATCACGAATCATAAAAATTAATGTTCAATTGTGCTTTGATATCAAATTATTTCGTTAATGCAGCAAAAACGCTTTGATAATTAAATAAAATTTATTTATTATTTGTTATATGTTTTTACAGCAAAATAATTTGTGCAATTATAGTTTTAGCAAAATTACAACTAGCAAATAGCAAATCATATTATAATTTTACTAGTAGATACATCAGATTAAATTTAGAAAAATACAAGAATTAAATTTCCATTAATGTAAACATTTAAGTAAATTGTAGGTATACATTACGTATAAAGAAACACGGTAGTATCTCTGCGTTTGTCTCAGCACCAAGATACTACAGTATCTTCTTAATAATGCTCTAAAGATGAATTTAGAGAAGAATATCATGAACTTTACTTAAATTATTGCAAGATGGCATTTGATAATATACAATTTACAGAAATGTATTATAATTTAAAGTAAAGTATATTTTTAATGGGAAGGATGCCGTTTGTCTGCAAATTGATTATCTACAATCTACAACATCACTTGCCTACATCACTTTTGCCAAGAGTTCGTTTGCGCACAAAAATTATTGTTTACCGCTCGATTGCTTATGTGCGCATTTTTGCGCACAAATAACAATTTCAGAAACAGAGTTACTTTTGTCTATACATACATTATTGCTTATACGTAGTATTGCCTACAAGTATTATTGTCTACATCTTGATTGCCTACATGCATTTTTGCACACAAATAAAAATTTAAAAAACAAAATCACATTTGCCTACGTGTACAATACTCTGCCATAAAAATACAAATTATTTTCTTATTCAATCTTATATATATTTGTGCGTAAAGGCGTTTGTATAGATAGACAATCGATCTATAAGCAATAATTCTCTTGCGTAAACCATTTGTCGGCAAAAGTGATAAGCAGGCAAACGATGTTTAGGCAATCGATTTGTAGAAGCCATCTCTTTTTAATGTGGATGCCCATTTTAATACTAAACGTATCGAGATTTAATATATACCTATTTGTACTGTAACCGATCAAATGACATGTCGCAATAAATAACGCTAGGTTACACGTGTTTATCAGATTTAACAAATAAAAATATAAATAAATGATGTAAAATTAATTGTATATATTTAATAGGAAAAGTCATGAAGTCAAATGTGAAAAAGTGATAACATTTCATGCGAATTTTCTAATCAAAAGTTTACAACCGGTCATTTGATCGGGTCATGGTACGTTTAGTGTTAAAAATCAACGATAAATTAACGGATATGTCATGATACAAATTATGTCATGGTAATTACAATATACATATATCTCGTTCGAGGAAGTTACGCAAGCCAATGTCATGACGGACGAAGCGCAAATAAGACCGGAAAGAATTTAGAAGTCGTACGATAAGTTTGTAGCGCAGAATCAATCGAAGCGTGAAGTTTTATTGAAATCTCACGCCAATTACTAATTATAGCCTTTCACTTTGATTCAACAAGATTTTTTCAAATTAAATATGTCCATACATGAAGTTATTATAAATTCTATTTGCTACATATAACGCGAATGTATGACATAAAGATGCAATCACATCTGATATTTCCGAGTATGATCTATTGTGGATTGATTTAAGCGCGGAAAGGTACTTTTCATTTTAACCAAACTGAAATAATTAAATTTATTAACATTTATAATTGTTGAAACAAAATTTATAAATATCAAATTGTACATAATTTTTTTAAAATAATTAATTGTTCAAAAATCATTGAATTACTTTATAATCCAAATATAATATAACAAATGTAACATACAAAATTTAACATAAAAGAGTATATATAAATTCACAAAGTGAATTGTACATTAAAAAAAAATATGGCGATTTCCTACTATAAATGTATAGATTTTGCTTCAGTTTCATTTCGCTTTCTTTTCTATACGATATAACCAAATTATACATTTTATTTTTCTTTTCCTCTCGATCAAAACATTCTCTTACGACATTGTGATAAAATATAATCTTATCATTAATGTCACTATTAATGTTAATTACAGTGTCTTATTAAACAGTATAATACCAATTTGCGATCCGTTAACTATCAATGATCCCTCGATTATCTTTTTGCGTATTCGCCTCTTATCAATACAGAATTCTCGCAGTAACAGAAATATACAATAGACTGGATTTATATTTGATATTCGCGCAAGCGTCGCTCAGCGATACGACGAATCATCATGCTGTGTGAATGGTCCCGGAGTGGAGAATACGGCCGGGTGCAGCAGATAAATTCCATACGTTGTTCTCAGTCAATAACGAGTTCTCAGTTAGCTCTGATCACAACCGCGGTTACATCGGAAAACTTACGTCTTGCGCTAATCGAAAGACTCGCGGAGTCGAAATATACTGGATGAGATTTTCTCTAAGGCATATATTCATAAAGAGAGATATTCTCGAATATTTTAAAAGAAGCTCGATCGTGCGACGTAAAAAGACTTGACATATTTATAATACTTTTTAACTTATCACGGTAAAAACGATCACTCGGACTGATAACAAATATTAGACGCGTACGTTTATAGATCTGGAAATAAAGAGACTCAAACAATTTTTTAGAATTGTCCACAGCAATCTGATGAATATCGAATACATCATTTGAAACAATAAAACCGCTGATCGGAAGTTAAACGCGTTTATTTTTTTAAAAATCAAAGAAGGCGTTATATAAACGGTTTTATAGATAGTTTATAGACAGTTTAGAGAATAAACAACTCAAAGTAAGTCGGTGTTTATTATACGTATATAGGATGATAATTTATCTACAATTCTAGATAAAAAATATTGAAAACGGAAGAAGGGGGCGCAATCTCGTATTTAGAACTCCACGATATATCTATACTACGGGATAGTAGTTAATTTACTTCAATTCATTCAACGTTTTCAACAATCGAATTTCAAATCACTTCACGCTCTTACGTCTTCTAAAATTAAAGTGGACGATAAATTAATAATTAGGATGGTTTAAAAAGTACTTTCCAATATACATGATATCGAGATTATTATCTTATCATCAAGATAAATATCAGAATCGAATATTGTAAAGATATATATGAAAGATTAAACCGCGACGAAGAGAGAATGAGAGGTAGCACTTGTAAAAAAGATAAAAATGACTGATATCCTTTTCTGATAACTTTTTCTAAAATTATAAATAACGTTTAGTGCGGAAAAATCACTTATTCGGTGATTTTTCTGCATTACAATCGCGTTACATTATTAATTATTTCATTAATTCAGTTAACTATTAAGAAATACAGTTACAGAGAAAAGACATACATCATGACGAACACAGACATCAGTGATACGAACGAACAAGCAAACACTATAAGTAACGTGACAGAACAAACAGATGTTAACAATACAGATGAACAAGAGGACGTTAAAAATACAAACAAGCAGGTTAATAATGCGAATGGACAAACAGATCTTAACAATGTGTGTATGCACATATCGACGTGCATGGAAATCAAGGTATGTACACATTTTCATCAAGATGTAATATAAATCTAAATTTCAAAATGTATAATAATAATAATAATATGAGCTATAACGAGTAAATTTAACGAACATTAAACATTAAAATTACCAATAAGAGCTGACATCGCAGATAGTAACGTGTAATTCAGTTCATTAACAATAAAAATCTCAATGTACTCCATTAAAGATGATAATATAAATTACTACAGACTTTTTAGTTCCAAAAGAAAACTGTCGATAACAGTAATATCGTTAATTCATTTCTTCCATTATCATTCTAACTTACTCAAATGCATATATCTGTCTTTATCTAACATATTGCAACAATATCTCTTGCAAGACCTACACTTACTAGACACAATTACTGCTCTGTTTACTTTTCACACCGATTTTACTGGTAATATACAAATAAAACTTATTTGTATAAAGGGCAAATAAGAGTAAATAACAATCACCGCGGTTCTAAGTGCGTAACAATACTTTAATGTCAAGATTAAAAAACCACTCCAAGTTTCGACTGACTTTCAGTCATCTTCAGCAATTTTGCTGTTATGTATGCTGCAACTGTTGCAAATCATTGTTAATTTGAACCGATATTTTCCAAATACATCTATGTATTTATACAATTTAAATATATACAAAATTTAATTAAAATAAAATTAGACACTTTGCTGGATTTCGTGTAAATTTAATCATTCTTTGCTTCTCAGCATCAGGTAGTACTAGAAAAATATTGTTGTATATAAAAATAATTTTATATATTGAGAGCAATTAAAATGTTTCTTGCTTTTGTTTTTCAAGTCTTATTTATCATTGCACAATCGCATTTGTTCAGGGGAGCTTATCACGATTTATCAAGTATCTTTCTGGATTTTTTTTTCACTTTCCGTTTAAGAGACTAAAGATCTATTTTTGAATACTTCCTAAATTGCAATAACGATTCGTAATTCACCAACTAAGTTGGACTAAAGTTTAATATCTTTTTAGTCCTTATTTTCTTTAACATTATAAAATAATTCAATAAACTACACTACGAAACATGCAAATACACATATATATTATGTTAAACATATTAATTGTGTTACATAAAAAAATTGCTTATCTATTGTTAAGATTATCAAATCTATTATTATCCTTATTCCCAATGATGTAAGTTAATATCTGCCTATATCTCTCTTTATCCTAGTATCTAAAAACTTAATGTAAGTGCATATTTAACAATTAAGTTATATCTTTTAAATCAGTAATTATAATTGTAATTTACTTATGTTTTACTTTGTATCTTATATAAAATATCATTTTTCTTTAAATACATAAATACAATCTGCTTCCAACATACGCGTGCGCACACACGTATATAATATATAAATATACTATATTCGAATAATATGCACGAATAAAAATATTGGTTCCACTCTTTTAAAAGCTGAATTAATATATGTATGTAAGATAACATATTACCAAAATAAAAAAATAATTAGTGCTGTCTCTCTAATGCAGCGTTTATTATTTTATAACGCGATTGAACAAAAAATTAATTTAATTAAACATGAGTATTGAAAATTGAGACTGAAACTGTATAATCTTTTTTTTTTGGAAGTTTTGATGTTTAAGTAGAAGAAAGAAATAACTAATAAATGTAGCTTATACTCCGTTAAAATATTGATAAATTTTTGTTATTTATGTGTCTTTGTAGTCTATATGTAGTAATAGTATATGTACATATAAATAAATAAAAAAATTGTTTGTAACATATCTATTATTTTTTTTACAATTTTCTTCCATATTACATTTAATTGCGATGTTTTTAAACAGTTTTAAACAATAGTTTTATCTAATCAATCATTTATTAGTGGGAGATAGACTATGAAGTTTGGAAAAACAGTCATGAATCTTCAGAATCATGAAACTAGAAGTAGCATCAAATATAATAAAAATTCTTTTTAAGTTACTATTAAAGCTTGTTTCATTAATATACATAAACGATTGCAAGAAATTATTTGAAAACGAGGCAAAAGTACTAGATTTGGAAGTACATACGTACCCATGCGTTAACCTCAACACACACGCACGCACACCCTCACACACATACGGATATAATACGAAATCCGAGCAGCAACCCCTTCTTGAATTGCATTGGTTAATACTAATGTTGGAAAAAAATGTATACATAATTTTAAGACGTTGTATCTCCGCAACAAAAAAATTGTACGAGATTTTACTTTTTTAATTTTTAAGAAGTCCATACTTGACGATGATTATCGTGACATTTGCGAAAAAATGTATTGCACCTCACAGAATGAGACAAACTATACAAATCTTTATAGGAATGTAACATATATATCCTTACTTCAGCGAGTATTCGTAAAGTTAGATGAATTTAAAATTCATTGAAAGCTTCTTAAAGTACAGCTTTTATTCTTTAGAATAAAAACCTTTTAAATACAATCATTTTTTACAGAGTTATGCTTACTTGAAGTTATGCAAAATTTTGAATTTTGGAATTATGTTGCGATAATTTTGTTAATGAATGTAATTTTATATTTACATTACTTTTATATTCAATTTTTTGATAATATGAGGGTAGTTTGAAAAGTCCGTACAAAGTCTAAAATATAGCACCACTAGTAAGTATCGAGATTTTAGAGGATTACACCAAATTTCAATAGATCTATTATTCTGTGTTTGGCGTTCATTTGAATTGATCAAGTTTCGTGGTTTGCGAAAAATGGATTAAAAAGAATTTTGTGTAGTGTGACCGCGCAAAATGATTCAATTTACGCTACAAAGTCCTTCCACATTACCTTATTTCTTAAATTTGGACAAATACGCACCACAAGCATATGAAAAAGGTATAACACAAGTCTAATATAAGAAGAAAAAGAAGCCTTAAAATTATATGCATCATGGAAATGTACTTATGACTAAAAGTTCTATTAATCTTCTTTTTTGCAGATGGAGCCCAGCCTTACCGAAGAAAAAAAATGGGAACGAACAGGAACAATCTATCAAGTATGATAAATAATCTTTTTATATACTTACAAAAACAAAGATAAGATCACACATAATTCTTTTTTCGATTAATTATTTCCTGTACTTCCTGTAAAAAGATAAAATTCGATTGAATTTAATGTACGTACTATATCGTCTTCATGAATGCGAGAGAGAGGGGGGGAAGGAGGGAAGGAGGCAAGGAGAGGAGATAATATCACATAATACTTATCAAATCAGAAAGTGCTGATATAAATTATTTCTCATAAAAATAACGAATCTATTTCTTTAATATAATATTATCAATTATTGCTTCATTAATCTATATAAAAAAAAAGCAAGAAGCTAATAAATATGATATTATCTATAATTAATTTATTTATAATTTAATACTGGATTAATCTATTTTTGCGCTAATAAGACAATACTGAATAGGCGTTTAATACGTTTTGCTGTTAAAATATAAATATGATTTCTCAGTAGATTCTATTTTTTTGTAATTTTTATTAAGATATTTATTGTGACGATCGACCGAGAATTTATGTACTGTTCGATTTTCTGTCGAATGATTTTGGAATTGAGAGATGTAGTAATAGAGATAAAATGTAAATTATAAATGACGAAATAGAAACGAGATATGTAGTACAACAGATTTCCTAGTCAATTCAATTCTGTCTATTGTATAATAAATTATGCAGATTGTTAGGAAACGTTTATAAGTTTATATAACTCATAAGCGACCGTTAATTACAAAAAAGTTTGCAGACATTATCGTGTTAACCTTGCAGTAACAATCACTCATTAGTTACAGAATATGTATAAAGATTACGACGACAACAAATATATCAGTTTCGTCCAAAAAAGATCTCGCTTGTTTTGGTTCTTAATTGTACTGTCATCTATATTTGCTTTTTTTATATACTCGCGGAGTACATTTCTTGATTTTGTATAAAATAACGATGCTTACTTGTAAAATGGAAAAATTATTTGATGCAAAAACTGCAGTTCTCTTCCCTGTTCTATCATGTAGAAGTAGAAATTGCAATATTTTAAAACCAATATTTTTAAGACCAACATTTATTGTGTGATGACATAATACAATAATTATATATAATGCATATGTTCATAGATAATATTTCGTCCCCTTCTAGAGCTAACAATAAATAAACTTTGACATGCATTAGTGTGCATCCAACCAAATTTGCTATTAGACATTATATGAATGAATTTGGTGGATATGCCTTTTTTACAGATATACCTTTTTGAATCGATACAGGTTATCATACAGTGTGCAAACAATATATTATTTTATTAAAAATTAGAAAGTAAGCGTTTTGATCTCAGTTTTAGGTTCTCTTCAGTACAATAAAATTCAATCGATACGTAATATATAATTATGTGAACGATTCTTATAAAGCGCGTGTCTTGTAAAGTTGTGTATATCAATATCTAGAGGTCATGTATAAAAACCATCTGATTATTCTCCATTGTTACACATCAGTCCATCATACTGCCAGATTTAACGAAGTTGATAAATGGTACGCATTGAGATATTAACAGTTGGAAATTTATACTCCAAATGACAATCATCGGTTATAATTATATGGACAAAATAAAGTTAGCAAATCAAAAAATTATAGCAAGAAAGTTCTCGGAAAATTAAGCAAAAACTTATTTGTAAATTTTTATTTTAAGCAATTTTTAAGATATAAAAATTTTACAGCCGCGTACAGACTATGTGTAGGCGGTCAACTCTGAGTGCATAATTGCACTAAAGTGCAACTCATCATCAATGCTCATAATGAATTCGGTTCAATTCAGTTGGACACACTATAGTGCGCATTAGTGCATGTTAAAATCATTGTACACTAATTTACATAAAAATAAAGTGCAAATATTTCAAATTATAAATAAAATGTAATGAGAATTTCATGGTATAATTTATTTTTATATTTATATTAAACACACATTTTTATGTCAATTTGTATACAATGCTTTAATGTGCATCAATGCACACTGGCATTTAATCAAATTCGCTGTAATATTATCGTGCGCATGACTCATACACAGATTGTCGTTTAAACGTAGTCTGTATAATTAATCATATTTAAACCTTTTGGTATCTTAACTCTTCGTAGTTGTACCTCCTGATAATTTTATGCCAGTCACACAGGAAGCAAAATTATCTCAAAACTTTTAATTGATTGTCGTATTACATTTTATTCTTTAAAATTACTGAATATACTTTAAATATTGTAGAAGATGGAAATGCAGTGCATATTTTAAAGATTTTAATTTTGACATATTAAAAAAGTCGTAAGATAAAGATTCTTGAAAACTGTTTTACAAAAAAAATCATAACTATTTTAATTTTTAATTCTTCTTAATAAAAATTTATAGCTATACTTTACAGCGATATGACACTTTCAGAAAAAAAGTAGTGCAACAGTTCACACGTTCCAAAAAGATATTTATTCTAAAAAACAAAGAAAGATCGTTTTTGAAAATAGTAAGAGTGTGATGTTATTATACAGTAAGAATATAACTTTCTTTGAAGATAAAAGTCTCAAACTTTTTACGAGGTCCTGTGGACTCCTGGTGACCACAAAAAATTGTTTACAAAATAAAAATATACAAGTTTTTTTTATATAATTTTTATACACTTTCTTTATAACACTTTTTTTACTTAATTTTTCGAAAACTTATATTTACTATAATATTTTAATTTACAAATTCAGGGCATTTTGTATAATAAATTATACATAATTATGTGTCTATTATATATAGGTATTTTAAATATAATTTTTAATGGTTATAATTACATGTGAAAATGTTTTACTGAATGCTTATCTCTGATGTTCCATAAAATTCTAAAGCTTAAGATTAGTCATGATAAGATATATTCTACCTATACGTTATAAGATTTTCCACATTTTTATCTTGATATCTTGAAAATATGCATGAAAAACGCTACGTGTTATATTATGTTCAGCCTTTAAACTGTGTATAACGCTTATATTTATATAAGATTTTAAGATGTATGTATTTGCTGGCTACGCCTTTTTTGATCTCAATAATTATACGTTATTCATCCGATTCTAATATTTGCATGTGTAATAGCCGCAGTTGACGCGATAAGAAAATTATTCAGATAAAAAGATTCGATGTTTAGTTAACCTTAGCCTTTCGTAGTAACTGTGCAATATTTCTCGTCTCTGTTTGCACTATTTTTCGCGTCATGATTCGCAGCTATTAATAATCTATATTACTTATACATTTTCTGCTTTGTAGAGAAGTTTACGAAAGTTCTACCCTTCGCTACGAATACAAATATTTTTTTTATGAATTTCCGATATCGCCGATTCTACCTGACTCAAAAAGCTTTTATCCCTTCCTGCGAATACAAATATTTTTCATAAAATTTTTTTCGTGTTGCTACCATTTCGTCATCATCGTCGTCAATTTCTCGATATCGTCAACCCGATTTGTCTCCTTGATTCGTAGTTTTTCTTTTACAGCTATTGATGGCCTTATGTGCCAATGTTGTGGTGTTGGGTCCAGCAATGGGTTTCGGTTACAGCGCTGTAGCGGAACGTGCGATGAGAGCGGAGAAAGCTGACGGTGATTTACAACTTGATGCTTATCAAGCAAATTGGATGGGTTAGTGTCAAAAAATTTCTTTAATGAATTTTTTGCAATTTCATATCATTAAAATAAGTAGTCTATTGGCAAAAGTTATTTCTACTGAAAATTTTTTTTTGGAAAGAGCGAAACACTTGTATAATTTTTATTATTCAAGCAATCAATAAGACCTTTATAAAAAATAAAGAAACATTTATTGTTTTCATTAAACATTTTGCAACTAAAGGAAGGATTTTTAGCTTTAAAACAAAATATTCGCCATTTTTATTGAATGGCTGATGGATGTATTAACTGTATTCGCAACAATAAGGATTTAGTTAATTCTTTTACACTCTTTTTCTTACATCAGTAGGGATAATTAAAATTCTTTTGCAATTAAATCCATTTTTCTTTCATGATTTTATACTTTATATTGTAATTGTTTTTGATTTTTTTTTAATATTTAATTTAATTCATAAACAAAGAGCTAAGGATTCCAATATCTAAATTTTTAAATAGGTATTTTTGGTTACAGTTACTTTTGCTCTTATAGAGTACTTAAATAAATTTTAATTATTGTTGTCAAAAATGATTATTATATTTGCGCAACAGCTACTGTATCAGCGTTAGGTACACCTATCGGTTGCCTACTCTCGAGCGTCGTGATGGGACGAGGAAGAAAAATTAGCATGTATGTGACATCATTGATCTCAATGGCGGGTTGGGTGACCATTTACATGTCCAACAGTTACGTACAAATCTTGGTTGGGAGATCAGTTTCCGGAATAGCCACTGGTATGGCATCGGTTCCAACGACGGTATACGTGGGGGAAATAGCGGGACCGAAATGGCGAGGCACGATGGTTACATGGACTAGTATTTCTATCGCTCTCGGTGTTCTCATTGTTTACATCTTCGGATATATTTTTCAGGTAAATGTTCACAAGCAATAGGAATAATAATGCACAATCAAATTCAAATAAAAAAATAAATCATAATGTAAATAACACAAATAAGTAAGAAGCACCAAACGGTCAAGATTGAATCTTGATATCTATAATAATATTTCTATATAAATTTTAAATATATATTTCAATTAAATAAACTGCACGCTGATTACTGTCAGATTTGGAACGCAATCACAAAACAGAGCTTAAATTAATCGTCAATTTAATAATGATGGTAATAAACATCTTATTATAACACCGCAAAGAACTCATTGCAAAAATTATTACTAACTAGGGTCGTTTTTCTTTTCAATTTGATTGAGGCATGTGATGATACCATATTGTCGCAATAATCAATATTAATGGTAATGCATAATCTTTCCCCCTCAAAGGATAATTGGCGACTAGTGGCTTTAATATGCGCTTTATTTCCACTGTGCGCGATCGCCCTCGCTTTACTGGTGGTACCCGAGAGTCCTTTGTGGTTGCGAGATCGAAATCGGCCCGATGAAGCGCTGGAGATCATGAAAAAGTTCCGCGGAATACCAAAGGACCAGCCAGCACCGGCGGAAGTCTTGTTTGAACTAAAACCGCGTCAGCAGAAGAAGAATCAAAACGTGCTGAAATACCTGACAAAAAGGAGCTCTCTAGTACCGTTCGGCATAATGGTCGGCTTCTTCTTTTTCCAACAATTCGCCGGGATCTTCGTTGTCATATACAACGCCGTTATAATTATGGATAAATCGGGTGTTCAAGTAGATCCTTTCTTCGGAGCAATATTGATAGGCATCGCTCGTTTTATAGCCAGCCTCTTAACAGCAGGTGTGTCCCGAAAATTCGGTCGACGAATACCATCGGTGATTTCCGGCATTGGGATGACGATTTTCATGGGAGGGTTGTCACTTTATTTATTCCTAATTGAAAAGGGAACTGTCATGGCGGATAATGGAGTAGTCCCGGTGATTTGCATGGTGATGTACATATTCACAAGCACCTTGGGTTTCCTGGCGATACCGTTCGCTATGGTAGGCGAAATATTTCCGTCCAAAGTTAAAGATATATTATCCGGCATGACGGTCGCCCTAGGTTATGTCTTTAGTGCGATAACCATTAAGATGTATCCAAATATGGAAAAACTGATGAACATGTACGGCGTGTTCCTTTTTTTCGCGACCATTTCTTTAATTGGTGTAATATTTATCTTATTATTCTTGCCCGAAACAAAGGGAAAGACCCTACGCGAGATCGAGGACATGTTCTCGACAAAAAAGAAGGTCTTCGAATTGCAATCGGTGGCAGAAAGAGTAGTCGAAGAAGTAATTGTTCCGACTCCCGTCGATCTTCTTCAAAGAAATTGAGAATATTTATTGCTTATGCGGATAAAAATAACTGCCAAGAGTAGATAATATTAAATGCTTGGTAGTCAAAACGTACATCTGTGTACGAATACTAAAGTGTCTCTACATAATTTGCAAATTGCAAAACGTAGTTTATAAACGCAGACGCAGAATAAAAATTTTAATTTGTTTTTAATTGCTTGCGATTAATTTGTCTGTATCTTGCATGCGGTTATTATCATTCTGCGTCAGCATTTGCGAATAATGTTTTGCGCTTTGCTAATTATGTAGAGGCATCCTAGACTGTCGATGAAAGAAATACAAATGTAATGTCACATAAAGAAGAAATTATTTAAATGATATTTAAAGAGTATATTGAGAAGTAACAATATTTCTTTTATGTATTTATTTTTAATATGTTATACGTATAGAAATTTTGTATCATATATTTTGCAAAGAAATTAAAGAAGATAAAATAGGTAAAGATATTTGCTTAGAGCTCAGAGAAATAAAACGTTATATGATGGAACTGTGTTGTCATCTCGATAAAAGTTTTGTCATTACGAAAACAATGCTATATGTTAGTACTTAGGTTATACTGCAAAATGTGTTCGCAAGTTTCATTGTAATGAGAGTAGGTTTGTACTAGGTTGTGGATCTCGCAAGAGAGATAAGTAATCTCAAAGATGATATTTTTTGATAAGACAGTATAAGACAGTATATATTACATTGTTTAATTAAGACTTAATATATGTATACATGGTGTCTGCCAATTAATAATTAAATTCCTGTATAAAGACAAATGGACTAAACTGAATAAAAAAGTTCTTTACCATTTTGCAATTTTCGCAATAGTTAACCATTGCAAAAATTGCATTTTTTATTCAATTTGATCCATTCTGCTTCCATACAAAAGTTTAGTTATTAATTATCAGCTACGGTATATATACCGTAGTAGCACAATTATTAGCACAATAGTGCCTAAATAGTAGCCTTACATCCCCAACGTTTAATCAATATATCCCCAAAAAATTGCTACTAGAGTATTTGGAACATAATCTTTAAAATTGTTCAAATTTATTGTCAGATATTTCAAAGATTTTCCTGTTAAGAAAAGTATTAAATATCATCATGGACGGTGAAGATTTAAAGGAAAAGCTATTGCGTAATATCGATAACATTTTATCGCATAATACGCATAATTAATTAAATATAAAAACTTATCATTTTAATAAATTGTATTACTATTCAACAATTACAAAAATTGTGAATATAAAATTGAATGAAGGCACACAAAACTTATTTAAATGTGCAAGTAAAACTTATTCCTAGCTTATTTTTTGTAAATCTTCTTGTAAATAATTAACATGTTAAATTTGATAAAGTTGACAGATTGGTACGGTGATAACGATCAACAGTCGGTCCGATAAGCACAGGAAGGAGTTTCAGACTCGCGTGTTATACTTGTTATTACATATTTATTTATAGCTGACAAGTTGCGATAATAATCAAAGTTTTCTCAGCGATTAAAATGTCATTTTGTACAACTATCTTTTACAGTTATAAGTGTCATTTTTCTTTGTACAAAATACATACACACATATACGCACGCATACACAATATTTTTTGCGGAGAAAGCGCGATGATATTGACAAAAGTTTATACGAGCTTTATCATACAGTATATCAGTTCATCACGCGACTGATTAATAAATTATTTTCTAATTAATTGTGATTTATTTAAGTTATATTAAGTATGTATTATATACGCCGATATAAAAATACATATATATCATATTGTATATACATATGTGTATCTCACGTATTTTATTAAAATATTATTAAAATCTTAAATAATAAATTAACAAATGGCGTAACAATCACGATAATTAAATAACAAACACAAAATAATGTACACTTTACGAAATGTGAAAGCATGGGATATACCATATGTAGGGTCCGGTGGAGAAACGAGGCGACAAAGGATAGAATGATTAACATGATTACTGACAGTAATAATAATAATGATAATAATAATAAACAATATTAATATAAAATAATTGTATGTGTAATAATAATAACCTAATGCTCTAATAAATGCTTGATACGATAAAAATGAATTATTATTTATGATATAATACAGAAAAAAAACTACTCCTTGTCGAGAATAATTACTCACCAAACACCAAAAGTAACAATAACAAATAAAAATTATATAATGTTAATTAATGTTTGGTGGGTATTATTTTATAAAATACGATTTTATTTCAAAACATTTTAGAAACAACTGTAAAATTTTTTTGTATCAACTGTAATATTCTAATTCTATTTATATCTCTTTTCCTATATTTTTTGCTTTCAAAATTACTCCTCAAGCTTTCTTCACACTAAGGCACTAGAGATGTAGATATTCCTATCAGCCATTTTGGGTCCACTTGACTGATTGGTTATAGTACGATTAGTACGTGGTAACAATGTAAATATATCAAAAATTAAAATAAATTGCCGTTGAGAGCCAACACAGGATGAAGATGTGTAGTAAAATTTATTTAGTTACATATATAATTGCAAATTGAATACGTTTCGACCAGTTTCGATCTTAATCCAGGTCCTTTCCAATACATGAAAAATTCAATGCATTGAAAAGGACCTGGATTAAAGTCGAAACGTATGCAATTTGCAATTATATGTAACTAAATAAATTTTACTACACACCTTCATCCTGTGTTGGCTCTCAACGGCAATTTATTTTAATTTTTGATATATTTACATTGTCACCACGTACTAATCGTACTATACTTATTAGTCAAGTGGACCCAAAATGGCGGATAGGAATACCTACATCTCTAGTGCCTTACTTCACACTACCTCACGAAATGTAACAATATGAACAAGACAAAAAATACATGTATGATGACTTAACAACAACAATCATTTAATATGTAGGCAGTGCAAAAATTCGTATTCAATTTATTATTCAAAATTAATAATAAATCGGGCACAAACTTTTGTACTGATCTAATATATTAAGAAGAACAAGAAAAAAAAAATAAAATTGCAATGCATATCTCTACATATAAATAAAAATAAAATCATATACCTTCGAGATAAAAAGTACAATGTTAAAATCTTTTACAAAATTTTTTTATGGAAGAATTCTGTTTCATCATATACCACAAAAATGTGTACTTACTGTGTAAATTCCTAACGTCAAGTTTGTTAAATTTAAACACCTTAAGATTCAAAGGAATTATTAATTAATTTTAATCTTCTTCAAAGAAAATTACAGAAAAATTTTTATTTCATTTGAATCATCGATATTTTTCAAGTAACAAAGTTATATGTATGAATCGTTTGAACTTGATTTTAATGTGATAATGTTTTATTAATATAACAAATTGAAAGATTTATTTTTTACACCAGTAGTAACTAAATGATAAGCAATATATAATGTTTTAAAAAATTTTTCATTTATATATAATCGAAGTTTAATAATCAATTATCCTTTAATAGAGGATGTTATAAATTGATTTTTGCATACAATAATTTTTAGTTGTAGTTTTCAATAATTTTCAAACAAAGATTAAAATTTTACAATTACCCAATAATTAAAAAAACACTAAATGCTCTCTCGAATTAATTATCTACAATGCAAAATATTTTTTGCAAAAATCATGTAACTCAATTAAATCGAGAGAGAGAGAGAGAGAGAGAGAGAGAGAGAGAGAGAGAAAATATTCTATAGAAAGTAAAATTAACAAAGATTTGAACTAACGAAACTGGGCTCCGCGCGTATTCGCGCCTAGAGCATAAGTCGAAGAATGATTCAATTAGCTATCTTAACGACCTAGTAATGTCAGTATTCTCGTTCTCGTATCTAACCTTCCCTACGTAAGTAAAGCTTCGTTGGAATTAAAAGCCTCTTTTTAGCTGCTGGTCCTCCGCTACGCGTAACGTTAATAAAAACTTCGCAGATATGCAAAATAGTCTTACATTCGATAACATCATCAAGTGAGTTGATATTTAAATACCGAACTATTTTTTTCAAATATGCTTTCTACTCGGATCCAATTGATCTCTTTGATTACTGATGTTCCGCGTAACCGGCAAAGTTTTCAGGAGCCCAGCTCGTGGTCGGATCGTGGACGAGAAATCAAATTTACGCTCCGATTTCATCGGCCAGATTCATTCTTTCTCATTGATTTATTCTTTCGCATTTTCTATCCTACCGTTTTTCGAAACGGACCTTGAAGGTGTCCGCGGGAAGTGCCAGATTGCCAATAGGAACCTTGTAATTCTCCTTCTCTACCGGCAATATATTGAAGTTCTTCAGCAAGGTGGCTATCGTCGAGAAGCTAATGTATTGGACCATTTTGTAACCCATGCAGGATCTTCGGCCGCCCCCGAAAGGAAGGAAGTGTTCTGGTTTTAGCAGTTTGCCATTCTGTATGAATCTCTGAGGCATGAATTCTTCAGGAGATGTCCACAACTCTTCCGACATATTTAGTTCATAATTGTTCAGGAAGATAAATGTGTCCTTCTCTATTTTGTAACCTAGAATATAAGATCAGGATTTATATAAAATCAACGAAAAACTGTCACAATTTTTTAAATAATTAATAAATATATTGATATTAATATTATTCAAAATATAAATAAAATTCTTAAATAACTATTTTTATAGAGATTTGCAACTTTCGCTAGCAGTTTCTGTAAATTGTAAAAACAATTACTCTCTAGTCAAGACGAGAAAAGAACGATTTCCTTGAAGTATCTAAAATTTTAGTTAGATACAGATCTAAAAATAACTTTCTCGGATTATTAAAATAATCTCGGATTTGGAAATATTGCTCATCATAGTTGAGTTATCTACATAAAATTTTATACCCCTTTCAGCAAAATTGTTCTTTTTGTAAAATTCTTGCCTTGCTTTCAAAAAAATCGCGTTTATAATTTACAAAAATTTATGACATTGCGAGCGAAAATTGCAAATTTCCACATCTTTCCGTTCTTTTCATTTACGTGTCTATTTTGAT